AATTTCCGGACTATAAGCTGCTACTTTTTCCACATGCTTTGAACACCGTGGCTTATACAATGCTGCGGCAAATGTATGGATTTTATTATTTTTTTGATGGGCTAAAGAGCTTCACGTCGCCAAAACATTTAGCCTCATCACACCCGGGTGCTCACATAGCTGCCCGATAAACATCTCTCTTGGGGGGGTGGGTCCTCGTGGCCCATTGAGACTACCTGTATAACAAAAAATAAATAAAATCTGACCAATGAAATTACCGAACAGGGCTAATGTATTTTATTTTTTTAACCAGCCATGTTATAGATACTGTTCTGAAAATTAAAGTTATGGTACAATCTTTCTCATGTTACAGTGTAGACACCCGCAGCTTATAGACAAGTGCGGCCTATATATGTACACCGTTTTTTTACCTCTTTTTAAATTGAGTGGGCGTGGCATACGCAACACTTCAATCTTAATGACCGTTTCTGTCATTGCAGTTTATTTTGAAAGGATCATAAAGTGGACACTATGGTCATGGGTGAGCTCAGCTTTACTGCTGGAATACATGGACAGGATGAAATGAGATGGGAGGGGACTGGGAGCTCAACATTTTAAAGAAAGTGAATAAAACTTAAAGAAAATTGAATAATTGCTGACAAATTTTTAAAGTGTTTTCGCTTCATATTTATTTTTTTCAATAAAAAGACTTGTGGTCAGAAGCTTCCACACACTGACGCAATTAATGTCATGTTTTTAAATTATTTAGTTGAGCATTTCTTTTGAGGTTTGTGAGGATTATATAACATACAACTTTGATCTTTTATCAAAAACAATAATTCAGTGTGCATTTTTGAATTATTTATGAATTTTCTCTCACTCTTACAGGATCAACCCTATTTGAAACCTATTTGAACCTGTATTATAACGTACAATGACCAAAATCTGTTAAGTGCTGCTGAATCTAGATGGTGTTTACACATGACAAGGCCAAGGCCTTTTAACTTCTCATTAGTGATCGTGACTGACTGCAGCTTACTCTTCAGCGACAATAAAAAGGGTGGTTAGATAGTTAGGATGATTAGTTGGATAGTTGGATTGATCGATAGTCATTGTCACATTTGGATGGAGAAAACTGTGACTGTCCACAGTGAAGTCAGTTTTACATCGTTGTGGACTGAAAAGGTGCCGAGTCGACAAAGAAAGAAGCTCCTGCTCCAAAAGTGCATCCTCAGGCTGGACAGAAACGTGCAAGCAAGGTGCCTTCTGGAGTAAAATTTTATGGTCAGATTGTTATTTGGCGACAACGACAAGATGTTTGGACGCATTTAGGTGAACGTTTCAAGCCTAAACACACTGAACCAACTGTCAAGCATGGTGGTGGTACCATCATGCTGTGGTACTGGTGCATTGCACAAAGTGGATGGAACCAAACACCTACCTCCAAATACTTCAGCCTCACCTCAAACCAACAGCTAGAAGATTAAGCATTGACCACATTACGGTTCCAACAAGAAAATGATTCCAAACTCATAAAACTGTATTTAAGTAGTCCAGAGGTTTCTAAATCCAACATTTACAGAATTTATAAAAGAGCTGACACCGAAAGACAGATGATTGATCCAGATGTTATGTCTCTCAAGAAGCCTCACCAAGGCAAGTCTAGACTATCCAGGGTTGAGATGTATTTGTAAAAATAGAGATGTTGATTTGAATAATCTGCCCCTTTAAAGAAGCCAAGAGGAGGTACTTGAACATCACAAGTCAACACATCAATCCAGGGTTTTCTGTGTCCACAGCAGCTGGTTCTTAGAAAACTCTTCAAATACATCCAGTGCAATTATTGTTTTTCAAATGTAACAAAACAGACAGAAAATCCATCATTTGATGATTTCCTGAATATTCCTTCCTTCCTCAGTATTCACTAAGAATTTGTACCAAAAATGACTAAATGCATTTGAGTAGTTTGTGCAGTGGACTCTAAAGATGGAAAGTTTGTTTTGAACACACATTTAAATAACGAGGGTTAAAGCGACAAAACACTGAACCATTTGATTTCAAGTTTTAAAATACAGCAACACCGCTTTATGAGCACACGTGTTTGAGCAATTTAAAACAATAATTATCTATACATATTTTCATCGTGGCTCATATTTAACAAACCAAAACAGACTTAAAAATAATTATTTGTTATTGTTCATTTAAAATATTTATCCAGATTTGATGGACGTGTGCGCTACAGTGATGCTTGAAAGTTTCTGAACTCTTTATAATTTTATACATTTCTGCATAAATATGACCTAAAACATCAGATTTTCACACAAGTCCTAAAAGTATATAAAAAGAACCAGTTAAACAAATGACACAAAAATATTATACTTGGTCATTTATTTATTGAGGAAAATTATCCAATATTACATATTTAAGTAGTAAAAGTATGTGAACCTCTAAGATTATCAGTTAATTTGAAGGTGAAATTAGAGTCAGGCGTTTTAAATCAGTGGATGATGATCAGGTGTGAGTGGGCACCCTGTTTGATTTAAATAACAGGATCCATCACAGTCTGATCTTCACAATATGTTGTTGAAGTGGATCATGACAGGAACAAAGGAGATTTCTGAGATGCTCAGAAAAAGAGTTGTTGATGCTCATCAGGCTGGAAAAGGTTACAAAACATCTGTAAAGAGTTTGGACTCTACCGATCCACAGTCAGACAGATTGTGTACAAATGGAGGACATTCAAGACCATTGCTACCCTCCCCAGGAGTGGTGGACCAACAAAGATCACTCCAAGAGCAAGAGGTGTAATAGTCTGCGACGTCACAAAGGACCCCAGCAACTGAAGGCCTCTCTCACATTAATGTTCATGAGTCCACCATCAGGAGAACTCTGAACAACAATGTTCTGCATGGCAGGGTTGAAGGAGAAGCCACTGCTCTCCACGAAGAACATGGCTGCTCGTCTGCAGTTTGATAAATATCACGTGGGCAAGCCAGAACACTGTTGGAGGAATGTTTTGTGGACGGATGAGACCAAAATAAAACTTTGGTTTAAATGAAAAGTGTTCTGATTGGAGAAACTCTGCATTCCTGCAGAAGAACCTTATCCCATCTGAGAAACATGGTGGTGGTAGTGTCATAGTTTGGGCCCGTTTTGCTGCATCAGGGCCAGGATGGCTTGAAATCATTGATGAAACCATGAATTCTCAATTATATCAGAAAATTCTAAAGGAAAATGTCAGAACATCTGTCCATGAACTGAATCTAAGAGAAGGTGGGTCAAGCAGCGAAACAATGACCCTAAAAACACAAGCTGTTCTCCCAAAGAATGGTTCAAGAAGAATAAAGTTCATGTTTTGGAATAACCAAGTCAAAGTCCTGACGTTAATCCAATCCAGATGTTGTGAAAGGACCTGAAGCAGCAGTTAATGTGAGGAAACCACCAACATCCAGAGTAGAAGCTGTTCTGTACAGAGGAATGGATAAAATTCCTCCAAGCTGGTGGCCAAAAACAAAGGTTCACATATTTTTACCATCACAAATATGGAATATTGGATCATTTTACTCAATAAATAAATGATCAAGTATAATATTTCATCTCTTTTGGTTAACTGGGTTCTCTGTATCTAATTTTAAGACTTGTTTGAAAATCTGACGATGTTTTAGGTCATTTATGCAAAAATATAGAAACTTACAAAGAGTTCAAAAACTTTCAAGCACCACTGTGCATCTGAAAAAGAAGAAACATCCTCAAACACATTTTTCAGCATGAATATTGTGTTATTTTCCTCCACAGCGTTGATGTTTTATCAGTCCCTGTCAGATCGGAGTTGTGCTTCAGTAGGAAAATGTCTTGTGGGCAGGAGGTGCCGTTGGCTGATTTGAGAGATGAAACAGACATGGGGTTGGCTCAGAAAATGACCCTGGTCTGCTTGAGAGAAGAAGGGTGTGGGTCGGTGCGGGCGATCTTATTTACACTGAGGGACAAAACGTTGGATTTAATCTGCTTTTTCTGTAAAGTCTTTGACACGCAGCTAAAATAAAGCTTATGTGAGCCAGTGTGCTGAAGGGGAGGAAACTAAACAAAATGTGTTTGTCAGCTGCTGGAGAACAAGCACAAAGATCAACACGAACAGGGATCCACTTCCTGTTAGAAGGGCGTTAGCTCTAGTCACACAAAACGCTGACTCATTTTACCGTTGGCTCACCTGAGAGCATTGAGAAGGCCTTCTACGTTGTTTTGAGGCTCATCTTTGAGGACTTTGATGCAGCCTTTCATCTGTGGATCAGAACCAGACTGTCAGATGAAGAATCTACTGTAAGCAGGATCGAAGTGTGGATTTACCCACGTCGATTTTGGACGACTTGGCAAACGCTCCAACGGGATGGACATGGTCATACAAGATGATGACTCCCACCATCACCCTGAGGCAGAAAGGCACCGTCTCCTCGCTGGTGAAACGGCTGCGGTAATCCCTGACGGGATGAACAGGAGGAGTCAGATGGCCAAAAAGTCCAGAACAAGATGTAAAACACGCGCAGGAACTTACTCCGTTTCCAACATGACTTTACAAACACTCGCCATCGTGCTTAAGCAATCTGTTGTGTTCTCGATGGGAAGGTTCTTGTTCTGTGAAGAGCAACACCAACATGATGATCATCCCAAACTAAAAAAACAACTGTCAAACCTTAAACATATGGTTTGTTTTTATTTTGCTGAGCCTGAAGCAAAAGTTTGGGATTTCAGGACTAAACTACATTTGGTGAGGGCTTAGAAACAGTTGGTGTAAACGGCTCATTTTTTTCAGCTTCTGTTTAAGGAATTTGAATTTATTCTGCACAATTTACCATATATTTCAGAATATAAAGGTGCACTTAAAATCCTTTAATTTTCTCAAAAATCGACAATGAGCCTTATAATCAGGTGCACCTTATGTATTAATTCTGGTTGTGCTTACTGAGCTCGAACTGATTTTATGTGGTTATTGTGAATGAGATGAATAAAATTAATTAACACCGTAAAAGTATAAATACTTAGGTATCATAATGGATTCCCCACTTTCATTTAAGAAACATTAAAAAAAGAAGAAGGAAAAAGGAAAGAAAGAAATTAAAATTTAATTTATGCAATTTTAAACATATTAGGAATAAATTGACATTAGAAGCTTCAAAACTATATTTAAATGTTACGATTCTCATATAAACTATTGCATGACGAGTTGGTCTGAGGCGAGTCGAACCACACTACAACCAATACAAAGACTCTTTAAACAGACTCTGAAGACTTTGGACAAAAAATTAAATTCTTATCATTGTAAAATATTACACAAGTATGACTTTTTGATCATGTATTCAGACATCATACTTGCACATAAAGTCCTTCATGGTTTGGCTCTACCACCAGTAAAAGACTTTGTCCGGTTACATTCACAACCAAACAGAACTACAAGAGCAGTTAGTAGGGGAGACTGTAAAATACCATTTAGATAAAGTTCCTTCGGTCAGTCGTCATTTTCTGTTCGGGCTCCAAATTCTTGGAATAAACTACCATTAGAATTAAGAAATATTACATCATTAAACTGTTTTTGGAAATCACTTAGCAATGGTTACTAGTTAATCAAAATTTTGCTCATGTTTTTAATAATTCTTAAATCAACTTTTTACTTATTACTTTTTCCTTCCTCCCCCCATTTATGGTTGTGACTTGTTTTTATTTCTTTATATAACTGTTTACTGTATATTACACTACTTTTAGCTATATTTAAAATTTTCATAACTTATAGATCATGTAAGTTGCTATGAATGTTAATTGTAATTTTTTAATCTCTTACATCAACCTGCTAGGGGACTACAAATGAAAATTAGCCTCTTTGGCTAAATCTGGCATATTTATGTGATGTAGTCATGTTGATTAACATACATTGTGCTTTTATGAAATAAAAAAACTGAAACTGAAAGTTTGATTTATCTGACTGTTTTGTTTATCTTATAATCTTATAGTCTGAAAAATATGGTAATATGTGCAGGATTATACAGTTCCTGAAGTCTTCCATTGTTTATTTTTTTAAACATTTATTGGTTGCTTACAGATTTTTCTTGAATAAAACTTTATCCAACAGTTTTGTATTTTAGGACGTGCAACATCATTTAGTCTGAACAAATTATTGCTCTTTTTGACACGTTTCTAAAAACACACAAGGCCTGTTTGGGTGTTAGTTTACAAACTTACGATGCTAAAATGTGGGAAAGACTGATTGGTTTTTGTCTGATGAGGTATTAAAAATATTATTTGTGCAGATGAAGCTGCAACAGACCTGTGCACCGTTTCTCCCTGGTGCCCTTCAAATCTTCACATTACATTAAAGCGAGCTTTGATTTACTTTTCTAGGAAAGTCTAAAAATACTTTGCAGCCATCTTACTGTCTCTGCTTCGATGACATCAATTATTTTAAACTTTCAAGACTTTATTTTAGAGCTGATTTAAGGCAGCTCATTGTTAGAACAAACACAAGTATTTCAAAGCTTTGATAATCACACAGCCAAAATAGAAACGATGCATTCATTCACCTATTTTTACTCGCTTTACTTTTCCTATAGACTTTTCGAGAACAGTATCCCAGAAGCTTAAGCTCACCTCTGATACAAACTTTGTTGTGCCATCACTTAATGTCTTTAGCATGGGCGTGGCGTCGGCGTAGAACAGAGATATTCGATTGGCCAGCTCGTTGTTGACTTCATTCTCACCCTCTGCCTGAAAAACAGAAAAAAGTGTCCATTTAATCCCATTGAATCACATTAACCAGTTTCACCTGCAAACTTTTCGTTCCAGACATCTGACCTTAATAGAAATAAATATAAAGACCTTTAGCTGATCCTGATATCAGAACCGCTCACCAGGAGAAACGACACCATAATAAAACAAAAGAGCTACTGAGTCAAATCCTGTAGACTGATCTGCAAGAAGACATCTTTGTTCCATTTCTCACTCTACATTGTGAACATTTTGCACAACTGTATTTAAAAGATTATAATTAAAAAGGGCAGAAAATGAAAATATCTGGATTTATTTGAGCAGCTGTGGTCTTTGTGTCTATAAATAGATATTTCATGGAAGAAAATGAAGACAGGAAAACACTGATATGGACTGTATGACCGAGCCGTCCTGCTTCCCCCAGTCTCCCATCTGACTAATGCATCTTGCCGCTGCTTTCCACTTTCAAACAAACAAACAAACAAACAAACACCTAGCACATAACAGAGAACAAGGTCTCTTGAACAGCCTGTTCTAAATTTGTCTACATATTTAAAACAATAAGAACATTTCCTGCTGTCAACAGAGCCCTGACAAGATCCAGATAAATCGGCATAAACTTTCGAACCAATTGAAGTTTTAACGAGCGCTGACAGATGAACTCAGAGACCGTCTGAGAGGGACAGATGTGTTTCATCTCTTGTGTCTGGATGAGTCAGATCTTCGAGGAGTGACTGGGAGCTGGGAGGATGGAGGCATCTCCGAGCACCAACAATAACTTGTCTGGGCTTGTGTTCCTGACGGCGTATTCTGGATTAGATATTAAAATAACTGCTGTAAAACGGGTCATAACAGAGAGCAGTCTTCATTCATTACATTTTACCATCGCCTGCCGCAAGTACTTTGAGTCAGCTGAGCAAAGATTATCTAAAGTGCAGCATGATGGATACAGGAAACTGGATAGCTTTTTAAAATTTTAATTTTATGAGCTATCATTTCTACTAAATACAAGGCACACCCTTTTAGTGAGCTGCTATCTTTTTAATAGACCAATGTTTCATCATCGCTTTGGATTATAAAAGACACCACCTGCAAGACAAAGACTCTTAAGACACTTTCTTTTAGACATTTTATGCTTAATTTAATCCACACAGATTTAAACTGACGCATTAAAATCATGCAGGAAATTAACTGACTGAACTCTGGTTTCTTCTTCGGTTCCTTGCTCTTGTGGACTTCGGGGTTTTGTAAAATCACATGCAAAATCTGTCATGCTGAATTTAACTAACAGATTAATTTAATAATTTTATTTTTTATATTGTTTAAACGATTTTCTGTTTGTTGTCTTGTCTTTTGTGGCACTTGTTTATTTTTTGTCATTTTGAAATGCACAGCTCCTTATTCCAATATGGCTGTCTTGAAATATACTTTATAAATAAACTTGACACATGGATCCACGAGCGAGGAAAATCACATCATTACTTCCTCCCATGTCACAAATGACTCGTAAATAGACTGAACGTGCACCTGGTTGTAACACATTATGGAGATGAACCGATGGAAATGGGACACAGACATTTTTAAAGCAGATATTTTCAGTGTCGATGCAAGAAAAGGTCCATTAATAGCAGCTTAGCCCGCAGTGTCTCTGTAAGAGCTGACAGGAAGTCAGTTTGTAGAACAGCAAAATCTTGTAACTCAATATTTTATGGATTTCATTTAGAGTTTTTGCCATTTTGGCTAAATGTTTGCCGTAATAAAAAGGAATGCAGTAGTCCCTCGTTTATCGTGGAGGATTCATACCCTGAAGACCTGCAATACGTGAAAAACTGCAAAGTACAAATAGTAGCACAACTAGTAAGTAGCAGTTTTTATATATATATATATATATATATATATATATATATATATATATAT